TAAGCTTCTTTTCACGCTCCTTAACCGACGCTCAGAAAAAATACAGCGCTTATGACAGGGAACTGTTGTCAATCTACACTGCTATTAAGCATTTTAGACACATTTTGGAAGGAAGGTCTTTCACCATCTACACAGACCACAAACCTATCATCTTCGCTTTTCAGCAAAAGCTGGACAAAGCTTCCCCTAGACAAGCCAGACAATTGAGTTACATTGCTCAATTTTCAACGGATATTCGCTACGTCGCTGGAGAAGAGAACGTTGTGGCCGATGCTCTCTCTAGAATTAATGCCATCTCCACACCATCTCCAATCGATTACTCAACCATGGCAGACTTTCAAAACGATGATGATTTAATAATTTTGAAAAACAATCCAAGACTGAAAATGGTTGAAATTCCCATTCCGGAAACCAACAAATCGATTTATTGTGATGTCTCTACACCCAGTAACCGTCCATACATTCCCTTAAAATTTCGAAGACAGATATTTTCCGCTATTCATAGCCTCTCACATACAGGGATTAGGAGCACAAGGAAACTAATCACGAAAAGATTCATATGGCCAAGTATCAATAAAGATTGCCAATTATGGTGCAGGGCATGTGTGGATTGCCAACGATCCAAAGTTCAGAAACATACAAAATCCCCTCTGATGGACTTCAAGGTCCCACCCGAACGCTTCCAACATGTTCACATCGACATTGTTGGCCCCTTGCCTCCTTGCCAAGGTTTCAGATACTTGCTAACGATGATTGACCGTTTTTCAAGATGGGTTGAAGCACTACCTATGACGGATCAATCAGCAGAAACAGTAGCAAAAGGCATGATTTCAACCTGGTTTTCTCGTTTCGGCGTACCACAACGCATTACATCCGATCAAGGACGCCAGTTTGAATGCCAACTCTTCTCATCGTTGAGCAGATATTTGGGATTTCAAACCTCTAGGACAACTGCTTACCATCCACAAGCGAACGGACTGATTGAGCGTCAACACAGAACTATAAAAGCCAGCCTGAGATGCCATTTGCAACAAAATAAATCTTGGGTAGACGCTTTACCTTTTGTTCTTCTCGGATTACGTACGGCACTAAAAGAAGATATCGGATATTCTTCAGCTGAGCTTCTTTACGGAAGTCCTCTCTGTTTACCTGGAGAATTTGTTACTAAAATCCCTAATGTCACGCACTCAGACTTCGTGCATAGGCTACAAAGTATCATACGTAGCATGAAACCTTCTGCAACGACTACTCATGGCACTAAAGCCGTATTTGTTTCAAAACAACTTTCGAATTGCTCGCATGTATTCATCTACAATAATGCTGCCACTTCATCATTGCAACCAGTTTATCTTGGTCCTTACGTTGTCAAGCTCCGAACATCGAAATACTTTGATATTGAAATCAATGGAAAAGTCAAAAGAATTTCAATTGATAGGCTAAAGCCATGCTTTACTATACAGGACAATACCGAGCATTCGCCTGATACTCACAAACCAAGGGTTGACACAGATTCACACCCTCAGTGCGAACCCCAGGAACAAATCTCGTCCTCTAACAACCACAAGCAAACCACACGTAGTGGAAGAACCGTCAGGTTCCCACCTCATTTAGAGGATTATGTTTCTTAATCGTTTCCACTGGGAAGGGAGTGTGTAGCGTGCTCTATGTTCCCTCTTTAATTTAATTTCCAATCTCTTGTATATATATATTTGTTTTGTGGTGAGTGGCATCATGTTTTTGTTGCTGTTCCAAAAAGTGTAAAATAAATTGTTTGTGTTATTTCCTTATTCCTGTCATCATTTATTTTACTTGCTAAAGATTGAAAAATATTGAAGGGAAAATTATTCAGCCTAAAACAGCTCCTTCACTAGTAACTATGGTTGAATAAGCAAATATCATTCCTCCGTTTTTAATTAACCCAAGTTCTGAAAACCGAAACTCTGAATGATCTCTGGTTTTGAAAATTCAATAAACAAGCAAATAAATTACGAGTGATGAATAGAAATCTTTAAGCAATATACAAAATAATATACTGGTTTTAAGAAATAAAAAAAAATTAGAATTTAAATTAAATTGCTTTTTAATGATCAATACTGATTACACGCAATGCTTAGGTACAGCGGGATGTCAGAAAATAATATATATAAAGATGCGCACTCCATTTTTGTGCGTAAAACCGGTCAGTGAAAAGCGTGTTGCTTTCCTAAAACTTCCCGGAAAAACTTAAATGTCCTTATCCGGAAAAAGTTAAATGTCCCCTTAGCCCCTGGTTGCAACTCAGGGCTACAATGATGTCAAAATATTTGTATCCAATCAGATTTTTCGCACGGTGAGTAAAGAAAAGAAAGCTACAAGCATATATCTCATTGGAAGTGCGTGAGTCCACCCTTGAGCTTAATATATCTTTCAGCAGAAAGAGGTAGTCGGAAGCTCACTATGTTTCAACAAGAAAACTATAATTCAAAGAAATTTTTTAAAAGCCTCGTTGTTTAAAAGGCTATGTTTAGACTATGAAGTATACGATATAAGAACAATATGATTCATTTTAATTTAATTCTTAAATATTTTTTGGATTATTAATTAGTTGTTACCAATAAAGAATGATCTGCTTTATAAAATGCTATGCTATTAAATTAATTTTCTTCTACACTAATCTTGAAAATTTTCGTTCAAACTATTGTCTCAAGGCTCTTTTAGATAAAAATTGAAATGGCTAAATACTCGCCTGCTGACCCTGCTTTTGACCAAATCAGGAAAAGAATTGCTGAAATTAAAAGAAAAAATAGAATTATTTGCAAAACGTTTGGGATATCTGCTCTATGTAAAACTTCTGTTGAAGATGCGAAAGATGTTTACACAAAACAAAAATATGAAGTTTTTGATGAAAGGGAAACTTCTGCCGTTGAAAACTGTTACAAAAAAGCCTTAAAGTTGGCTGAATATTATTTAAATCTGAGGAAGATAAAGAAACAACGGAAATTGAATTCAAAAATAGTTTCTCCACAAAAAGATAAGCACCTTGACAAGTATTTTATAATTTCACCTGAACTTGAAATTGGGAAAAAGCAGAAGTTAAAAAATATCCCTCTCATTACCCCTGAAATTAACAACTCTATTAATGACTCTTTTAGTAGTAATGGTGCTATTATAAATAATGACAAAGAAAACTGTGTAACTATTGAAGATGGTGATATATCTTCTCTCTGTAGTAAAAGAAAAAAACAAAAATTACAGTCATGTCTCTCTGTTCTTGACTCTCATTCTGTAAAGTCAAATAATAAAAGTAAGTCACAAAAAGTTGTAGAACGACTAAATAAAACTAACCTCTCATCACCAATTTTTTTTAAAAAATGGGTGGAAAATGCTTCAGATTCTACCCCAACCAAGCAATGATTTGTTTGAGGATGTGGTGTGTATTTCAGATTCATTTCAGAGTTCTGAAAAGTTACCACAAACTACTGAAAGTTCATGTGATAATTCAACACCTATTCTAGTTTCAAGTTCTATTCCATTGAAAAAAAGAGATAATGCTAATTCTGATATAGATATTGTTTATCTCGAGACTGTAAATTGTTCAGCCCATAAAAAGAGAAATACTCCAATAAGAAAACAACATAAAACAAAAGTTATCAGTAAAAGAAAACTTGCATGTACTAATCATCCAATTATGAATTTAAAAAATGTGTCTAAGAAAAATGATTCAGGAAGGAATAATATTCAAATTACACGCAATCAAGACATTAATGGAGAACTTGATGAAAGTATTCATTCTGATCAACCATTCACTATTAGTAATGGAAGTTGTGCACTAACAAGAAGTGGTAATGTTACAACATGTCTTAAAAATCCTAGTTCTGATTTTGTTAAATCAAGTATAACTGCAAAGTCTTATAAAATTGTTGAAAATAAAGGTATATTAAATGTAAAAAGGACAAAATTTGATTATAATAAATTGAGCAATATCAAAAGAACTAATGTACAGGTTATACCAGAGCTTGATTTAACTGAAGAATCTGAAGCAATTGTAGATAAACCTGATTTGAAAGAAAAGGCCGACGAAGTGATTATAACTCAATTTGATTTGATAAAAGAGTCTAATGAAATAATACCAGAAATCGATTTGTCAGGAGAATATAGTGAAGCAATGAACATTAATTTGACAGAAGATCTTAATGAGGTAATTTTACCAGATATTGATTTGCCCAAACAATCTAGTGAAGTAATCAACATTGATAAGACAGAAAAGGCTGGTGAAGTGATTATACCTCAATTTGATTTGGCAAGAGAGTCTAATGAAAAGCTACCAGAAATTGATTTGTTGAGCGAATCTGGTGAAGCAATGAACATTGATTTGACAGAAGATTTTGATGAGGTGATTTTGCCAGAACTTGATTTGACAGAAGAACCTGTAGATTTTACTATTCCTAAACTTCATTTAACTGAATCAAGTAATAATTTTAGTCCAGATATTGAGGAGTCACTTAAGTCTGAAGGTGTTGTAATTCGAAGTGGAAGATGGTCAAAAGAAGAAGAAGATCTACTTAGGAGGAATTTCAAAGATTTTCAATCTCGATTTGGTGTTTATGATGCTCAGCTTTTGCTGGGAATTGGAGGTCGGGTACCTTCTTATAAATATGAATTCCAAAACTTTAAGAAATTTCTGAGAGTAAAGCATTTTTATGTTAGATTGGGTAAAGATATCAATGAAAGAACACTTCATAGTATATATAAGAAAGCTCGAGACATGTTTAATCAATTTAAAAAAATGAAAGATTGCACATCTAGTGATGTTGCTGCCGTTATTCTGTTGCAAAAGAAATATGGAAGTAACTGGAGTTTAATTGGACAAAAACTAAAAATAGATGGCAGGGTTTGTTATAAAATCTATATGCGTAATAAAAAGCCTTACTTAAAAGGTAAATGGTCAAAAAGTGAGGTCATGAAACTAATTTCAGCAATAAAATCTGTAGAAAATGTTTCTGATTTGTCTACTGTAAACTTAAAGAGAATTTCTTGGGATAAAGTTTCTGAACTTGTTCCAACACGAAATGCTAATCAATGCTGTTCAGAATGGATATATAATCAAAGTAAAAATTACAAACGCATTTTTTATCAAAAATGGAATAAATCCCATGCAGCCAAATTAATAATTCTTCTTAAAAACAAATTTAAATATTTTAAAGAATATCTTATTAATTGGACAGAAGTTTATAAGTATTTTAAAAATGTAGTTCACTCTGTAAATGCTTTAAAACATAAGTGGCATGGTATGAAATTCAAAGTACCAGATGAATATAAGATGAATTTTTCTAAGACTCTGGACTTTTGTTTTAAAAAGTATAATAAGTATATTATAGCAATTAATCAAGAGAATTTTTAAAGCTTTTTTATTGGTCGATTTTTATTTCCATAAATATATAGTATTCAATAAATAAGATAGTATTCAATAAATATAACCATTTTGAACTATCACTGTATAAATATCTTAATAATCATGCATAATTATATTAATTTCTCTATCTCACACTTTTTTTTTTTATTATTCATAGCTTATTATCTCACTTTTTAAGTTCTTAAAAAGAAAATGGAAATCTTTAATTGTTTAATATGGTTTGGATTATTATTGAAAGTACTTAGTAGATTTTTGCATCTGGGTTACAGAGGGGCAGAATATGCTTGATGGCACAAATAAGATTCATGTGAAATTCAGAGTCAGACCTAGGGAAATTTTTAATCACATTAATAAGAAATTGAAACAAAATAGGTTATTGTAAAAATATGCAAAAAAAAAAAAANAAAAAAAAAAAAAAAAAAAAAAAAAAAAAAAAAAGTAGAATAGAAAATTATTTGTGCAGAAAAACCCTTACGAAAAAAAAGAAATGTGGACTGGATTGATAGACAAAAGTGTAATAATATTTTCTGTTATGTTAAAAGAAGAGAAATGTGGACTGGATTGATAGACAAAAGTGTAATAATATTTTCTGTTATGTTAAAATATAATAAATTATTTTTTGTTATGTTAAAAGAAAATAAATCATTTTTTGTTATGTTAAATGCAACACAAATAACCTTCAATGCCAATCCAATTTGTTTATTTTTTAGTTCGAATTCCTTTAGTTTAGATATTAAATTTAGTTTTGTAAATTATTACTATTTCAATATACAATAGAACTTCAATCAACCATTTCTCATGGAAGAAGTTATTGTGAATGAGAGATACAGAAAAACGATTAATGTGGGTCAATGTGAAATATTAAGTAATGATTTGGTACCTATGATAAGTAATAAACGAGTAATGGACTTAAAAATAAGTTTATTATAAGTATAAAATGAATTATGTCCAGGATGCAAAAATACTTGCTATGCGAAAGAATTAGTACCTACATTTATTTATTTAAAATATTTGAAAATTTTAATTTGAATATAAATGTTTTCTGCTCAGCGTGAAATAAAAGTTTTTGACGTTTGTCATCGACACACTCTATGTATACCAAATGTTGCTCATTGTTCCTTCTGTAAATGTTGCTACTTGTTGTGTTTCTGTTATGACTTCTTCATCTGTATCACTTTGCATTTTTTCTGCTTTTTGCATCTGTTTCTTAACCAATGACACAAGTTAAACATTTTCACAAAAATGTAAAAATATTTATATTTTCTTCATCATCAGTTTATTTTTTGGTGAAAACAAAAAGTCTTTGATATTTTTAAATCATGGCAGAATTTCTGAACGATAGGCGCAGGACTTTTGCTAGTTTCAAAAACGATCTAAACAGATAACATTGTAAGAATATAATCTGTAACAGAATCATTAAAACAAAACAATAGATACGGAAAAATGGAAGATGGGGAACGATGGATTGATGTTTGACTGTAGTTTGATTTCTGCAATTTTTAACACACATACCTATACTAGTTTATTTAAGAAATCTGTTAAATCAAAAGAATTTTTTTTCTTTGTTTGAGATAAAATTATTAAATTTTTGCAATATACAAGTTTTACTTTTTAAAAAGTTGTAACTAAAAAAAATAAAATAAAAGTAAATTTTTTAGAGAAATTCCAAACCTAAAAAACTATATTCTTTAGAAACAATGTACTTTGAAAATTCTCATGCTGAGATACTCAAAATGTGAAAATTTCAGCATGCTACAAATTTCTTAAGTATATAAATATTCATTTATTCATGTTTTGAATATATAAGTGGAAATTTATATAAATGGAATTTTATAGAATTATGTAAATGGAATATTATGAATTTAGACTTAACAAACATAGGTATGAAATTTTTTTTCTCAAATTTTAAATTAAAATACTTCATGTTTGCAGACTCTTAAAATTCTATCAACTTTTATTTTAGTTTATTAAACTTTTATTTAAATTTTATTTGGTTAAATTAATTAAATTATTTTATTTTCATTTAACTAATGTAGTTTTTGGTGACAATGATTTTTTGTATGTGTGTAGTTTTAAACATCTGCATTTTAAAGGGTATTCTGGACAAAAAATCATGAAAAATTCCACTTTTTGATTTTTATGTTAGGTTTTCTGCAGCTTTTCAAATAAGTAGATTTATGTCTTTTCAAACACTTAAAGTGATTAAAAAAATTATTGAAAACTAATATGCAAGCACAGTTATAGTCTTCTGCAAGGAAAAAAAAAATCCTTCTTTTATTATTACTATTATTTAAATTTTAAAAAGATATTTTAGCCTTTAAGCCTTAGTTAAAAATCCACCAAATGATAGCATGAGGTTGAAATAAATAAACTTGCGATGATTATGAAGCCTGTATCTACGAATGAATTTTTTATAACCTAGTTGCTTTTTATTATTTTTCTCTGGTTTGAAACATTTTTAAACTATAACAATTTGATTAATTTATGCAGTATTTCCCATTGAAGGAGGGGGACTTAAAACTTAATTGAAAATTTGAAATAACTTTTCACATAACAATTCATAATATTCATTATAGTTTTCTCATCCATCTGCACTCGTTTTTCTATTTTTTTTTTCTTGCCAACTCTGCCAATGTCTGTATTGTACTTGTGCATACAGATAAGTGTGAATGTAATGAAAAGGAAAGTGTGAGGGGCAAGGTTTCTACTTAATACTATCAATATATATACAACGAATTCGCTATTATAACTCGAAGTAATAACTCGAATATTACTATAACTCGATTTTTTTATGAGGTCCCGACCCTTTTATCTTCAATTTCATGTTAATTATTCTCGATTACTCGAATTTTACTCCCTTTAACTCGATTTTTTTTAAAAATCTTTTAAAGCAAGAAAAGAAAACCTAGGAGCTGATATCTTGCCCCTTCATTTGCAACACACACACAATGTCTTTCGCACTCTTCATGGAGAGGCTAAAGCTGTCCCTCTTGAAGTATGTGAACAGTGGTTAAATGAAACGTTACCAAATTTACTTCATGGATACAGTGAAAATGATGTTTTCAATATTGATGAAATGGGTTTATTTTTTAAATGTCTTCCAAATAAGACTATGATGTTTAAGGATGAAAACTGCTCAGGGGGGCAAAATGTGCAAGGAACGTTTGACTGTCCTAGTTGAACGAAATGCGTCTAGGACAGAGAAATTGCCCTTACTTGTTATCGGTAAATACCGAAATTTCCGATGTTTGAAGAATGTAAAAACGTATCCTTTGGATTACAAGTCTAACAAAAAGTTTTGGATGACATAAGTTTTNTTTGATAAAAAAAAATAAATAAATAAAACACTCAAAACAATTAATAAAACCATCAATAATTTATTGATGAACAATGTCAAAATTTTTTTCTCCATAAAATCTTAAGTTTGAGTGAAAACAATACAACTTTTTTTTTCTTCATAATGAGACAATATTCAACAGTGGGCATCACACACATTAACACGCACACACACACAATATTTATTTTTTATGTACAAGCGAGAACGAGATTTCCGGCTCCATATTTAAAAGCTGATTGAATTTTCGAAACAACAATAGCTGCCTTAAAAAAATTCTTTACATCTTAAGCTATATTTGAATTGGCAAGAGAATACTGGTAGGTTTAGATCTTATTTCCACAAAATACAGTCTTTCAAGCTCATACTTCAAGTTGGTCATCATTCTTCAGCACAAAGAAGGAAGAAAATACTTTGGTAAGCACAAATAAAAGAGTCAGCATCACTTTTTTTTTTCTTTGAATAACTGCAAATTTGTTTTGAAGTAATGCACAGACTCTTTTGGATGGGTATAAGACTTATTTTGTAGTATTTATGTGTTGATTGTATTTGTTGAGAAAAAAACAGTTTTATTAGAAACTAAGTCACTTTTTATTTCTCCCTTCAAATTTTATGAATGTGTATAAATATGATAGTTTATCATTTAATATTTTTTTAATTTAATGAAAATACGCATGTATTAAAAATTAGTACTAAAAAAACTGTGCATAGAGAGGAAATTTTTTTATTTGAAAGCAAAATCATCAAACCATTAAGTATCTAAAAATTTTCAGATAATTTATAATTCCAAAAATTACATGTCTTCATAACTGGAAGGATTAGTTTAAAAGATTTTTAAAACTCTAGACTTTTTAATAGTCCTCCTTAGACATTGCCACTGTAAAAAATATTTTACTATATTTTCATTAGCTTCCCTTTGTATAAAATATCGAATTGTGTATAAAACATTTAAGGTCTTTGATTGCACACATACAAAGAAAGAAAGGTTGTCATTTATAGTATTATTTATTAGTTTTAACAACTTAGAAAGTTTCTGTACTTTCCTTTTTTACTGAAGCAAATTATACTATTGGCTTTTTGACTATTTTTAATCGAGTAGTTAAATTAAAAATCGACAAAAAGGGCATAAGAAAGATAGAAAAGTTAAGTCCTCATTTCAGTATTAAAATATAAATTTTTGATGTTAATAAATTTTTTTTTCTTTTCATTTCTATGCCACATTAACTTACTGTTTTAAAAAAAAAAATATTTGCTACATTAAATGTAACACAAATAGCTTCAAATGTTAATTCGTTTATTAGTTTAAATTCCTCAAGTTTAACTACTACTACTACTACTTTATACTTTGATTTCTATTTTTTTAACACTTATGCCAATTTATTCAAGAATTCTTTAAAATCAAATTAAAATTGTTTCTTTGTCAAAGAAAAAAAGCGATATAATTTTAAAGGAAATTTCAAACCAATAAAACTGCATTCTTGGGAAATAAAATATCAGACTGAGATTTTTCAGCTACATCGCACTTTTTTTTCTTGAATATTTTAGTACAGAATACAAAATCTATTATTATATATCAATGTAAACTGAAAAATAAATAAAATGTCTGCATCTTGAGTACTATACTTAACTATGGGAGTTTTAAAATAGTTTATAATCCAAAAAAATCTCCCTGAAAAAGTAAATTCTTTTAATGCGTAACTTTTTTAACCTGGCAAAAAAGTTACACAAAAAAATAGCCTTTCATCAAATGCAATATGAATGATTTCCAGAATATGGATTATCTTAGTTTTACCAACTTTACTTACGCCAATTTCTATGACTTTTTTGAAAGTGTGCAACTCTTCACAAGTTTCTTGAAATCCTTTATTTTGAGCTATGTCAAAGGATTGAGATTGTTATATTTTCTACAAAGGAACTACCCGCATACTTGACTTTTCTGTTACTATAAGTAATAAATGTCAATGTTCTTTCTGCAGGTACTAAACAAAAATATTTGTCATGCCTAAAATTCATTTGTGTAAAATGTCAAGAAATTTTCATTGGTAACTTTTATTTCAAATTATGTGCTAATATCTACAATGGTTGTAACTGTTTTATATTATTTTTCCAAAACAAGGGTAATTTTTTCTATATTAAAAATACTGCTTAATGCTAAAATTAATAAAAGTGACCTAACTTTTTAATGATATTTGAATTAAAAATCAAATATGCTGTTTCTTATTCTGGTCAAAATGACCGCAATGACATAGATTTAGAAAAAAAATATCGGTCTTTCTAGTGTTAATATGGTTTCAATATTTGATTCCGTTTAGAGTGAAAAGTAGTTGGCGAAAGAAAAAATTTGTTAAATATCTGGTGCAGGTGTATAACAAATCAGTACCAAAAAAATTAGGATAATTTTAAAATCAAAATTTTTTATAACAATTTGCAGCAAGCAGTCTCATTCCTATATTTACTTTGTCACAAAATGTTATTATTCCCATAAAATAATTTTTTAAGATTACAGTTTCTTTGATTATCGATAGGAAGCTATTTTACCCCTATGTACAGCAATCTATCTGTTGATAACTTCAGAAAATAGGAAGAAAAAAAAATGAAGAGGGCTTTGTTTAGGTAATCCAAAAAGAGGTTGATACTGTGGAACTATTTTCTGTTGTGTTTGTTTATATATATCAACACAACAACAGCACATGCGAAACTAGATAACTTTTAACAGTATGTTTATTTCACAATTCATATTGTTATTCATACCTAGTTGTTACAATAGCCCTTAAAACTACTTGGGTCAATTTAAAAACATTTATATTGCTACAACTTTTGAAATTTACTTATTTTTGGTCCACTCCTATAATTTTAATCGATTAACCAGATAATTAATTATTTTGTTTTAAGGATAATATATCGGGTACTAATACAATAAGGATTATAACATTTTAAGTATCTTTAATTTATCTTTAATGTATCTTTAATCTCAGTTTAATTAAAATTGTTTCAATGGATATCAAGAAATCTGTGTTCAGTGTATAATGCAGTATTTGATAAAAAAAAATAAATAAATAAAACACTCAAAACAATTAATAAAACCATCAATAATTTATTGATGAACAATGTCAAAATTTTTTTCTCCATAAAATCTTAAGTTTGAGTGAAAACAATACAACTTTTTTTTTCTTCATAATGAGACAATATTCAACAGTGGGCATCACACACATTAACACGCACACACACACAATATTTATTTTTTATGTACAAGCGAGAACGAGATTTCCGGCTCCATATTTAAAAGCTGATTGAATTTTCGAAACAACAATAGCTGCCTTAAAAAAATTCTTTACATCTTAAGCTATATTTGAATTGGCAAGAGAATACTGGTAGGTTTAGATCTTATTTCCACAAAATACAGTCTTTCAAGCTCATACTTCAAGTTGGTCATCATTCTTCAGCACAAAGAAGGAAGAAAATACTTTGGTAAGCACAAATAAAAGAGTCAGCATCACTTTTTTTTTTCTTTGAATAACTGTACATTTCTGTGAATAAGCCAGGAAATTTTTAAAATTTTTCATACAGAAAAGTCAGATTTATATACAAATCTACATTAGCCAAAGAGCATCATATAACGTACGCCGGAAACAATAGAAAAATAACATAAATTTTATTTTCCTGATTGCTACCAGGGTTAGCTTGATTAAAATTACTTGTCTCTTTTCAAACAATCATCATTGAAATAAACTATTTTTTTTATAAAAAATATCATATTAGTCAATTACATTTTTATTACAATAATTTTTAAATGAAATAAGATTGTATAGCCTATAAATTATTTAATACTACAAAATAGACTAAAAAAAAAATATATATTTAAAATTAAACGCTGATTAAATTATACCAGTTTAGTTTTATGTTTATTTAAATACAAATGCTTTAAAAAAACTTATTAAAAGGCAGTTAGTGCAGATAAATAATGAAAATAAAAAAACGATGTCTCTGCAAGAGTAATTTGGAATAGTTGACTTCTGTAATTGTTTCTGATCTTCATTTAATATCCAACAGACAAATTAGATTTTTGTCCTTACAAATTCATGAAAGTATTAAGCTTGAATAAAAACTATGATTTTATTTTGACAGAGATTAACCATTGAGTTAGAAATTTTAAGTACTTTATAATATAAGTAATATTAAGTATTAATATATTTTATCAGCGCTTTGCATAACATAAAAAAATCTGATTCAATTAAAAAATTTAAATTAATAAAATCCTTTTTGTCAACACTGACTGCTACGTATTTCATGGTCACTACTGGCAGTAATAATTATGTTTCCTAGTTTTCATGTAAAAAAAATAAATAAAGACTGAGTAAGTCAAAAATACTTCGATTACTTTTCTATAAAGTGTTAATAATAAAAAAAATAACCAACTTTTTGTCATTCGCGTTACGAAATATAAGGAATTTTGTAACTGTGATATTCAATTTAAAACATTATAGGAATCTTCTTTCTTTTTTTGTCTTACAGCTTTGAATATCTGGTACATTTTTTTCGGGAAAAAAATGCTCTCTAAGCTTATGTACAGAAATATACAGTTAGTATAAAATAAGTACAAAGATTTTTCCAAATATAACAGTGCTAATATATAACAATGTTGTATCCATCATAAATAACAGAATATGGATTCATAAAAAATCGACATTGAAACATAACTGTTTAACATTTTATAAATCTTTTTTTTTCACCCTCAGAATCACAAAGTACAGTGAGTAAAGTTGTGCAATGATAGAGTGGTTAAACTATTAATTAGTTTCCTTAACAAAGGTTTACTTCAATTGCCTTATTTATCCATTTAAACTTCACATTAAGAATTAGTTAAGAAATCATAGATTTTGAGTACCATAGTTCGAATTTTATATATGGAATGCCATATAAAAATAAATAACTATAGCAAATTAAATATGCCAAAAGAAACGCCAAGTGAATTAGCTATCAATTAAAATAATTAGATGCTTATAAAACATTTACTTATAAAAGTTTGTAGAAATAGGAATTTCTAGTTTATTTGGCAAAATAAACTATTTATTTAGTTAGTGGCATTCCAACAAAACACATGCCATTACTTAACTTAAACAAAATTTAAAAAAAACTTTTAACCTTTTAAATTTAGCTTTAGAGTTTTCAGAGACCCTTCCTTGCATTGATGTTTTCTCCTCACATAAAAAAGGTGTATAGAGATCAAATTTTCATGTATTTTTGTCCAGGGAATGGACAGTTAAAAGGTTAAAACATTTAAAAATCATATCGGGTTAAAAGCACAACTATACACACATCACAATTGGTCGAGCCTCATTCAATCTGATTTCATAAAAGATTTGATTCTTAAATTTTAACAAGATAGTAATTTTATAAGGTTACAAGAATGGTTTTTACATTTTCTTTTCAACAAATTATTAAACAGTGCTTCAATTATTGAGATGAAATAATATTTAATTTCAAAAAATGTAAAAACTATTTAATTGTAAAAATAGTAGAAATGAAGATAATAACTAGAATTAAATTAAAAATGTTAGCTGAAAATCAGGTGAAACTATAGAATAACAATTATAATATAATGGATTTATTTATTTTAAAATTTTTATTTAAGCACAAATTCAAAATTACTAGGCTATATGTAAAAATCATATCAATAAACATCAAAATTCTGCTATAAATATTTATCAATAATAAATGCACTTAAAATAGTTTACAAATAAAAAACAATGTGTTAATTTTCGGGAAAATTCAAATATAAAATAACTTGAAATAAATTCTGTTTTTTGCTTCAGTAAAGCTATTTCAATATAAATAAAATATAATAAAAGTGAAAAAGCTGTATGGCCTATTGTCATTTATATTTTAGTTTTTAATTTTATATAATGATAAAAATAAATAAGTTTAATAAAATTTTTTTTCATATCTCAATACAAAGAAAATAAAAATTTTAATCTGCCAAAATAACAAGTTATACAATGCTTTTTAACATTATCCATATAGTTATAACTTTGAACACTTATGAATAGTATTAAATATAATATGTGATTAATTATAAAATATTAGAAAAGATAAACATAAATTTATTTTCTTTAAAAGCACTGATTGTTTTGCATTGTTTAGAATGAAAGTTTTGAAAAAATGAAAATTACTTATACTATCTATACAATAAAATTTATAATCATTATTAAAACAATTTTTAACAGTCTATAATAATAATTACACTTATAATTAGTAACAAATTTTTTAGACAATGACAGATTATTATAGAATAAAATAATGCTAACAAGATATGTTGGAAATTCTGTATCAGTTATTTATTATCTATATTATTAAATAAAACTTGTAATCTATTATTAAATAAAACTTGTAATCTATTATTAAATAAAACTTGTCATCTAAAAATGTTATCTATTATTAAATAAAACTTGCCATCTAAAAATCTATATTATTAAATATTAAATTGAAATAAAACTTGATTTTATAAAACTATGATTGATAAGCATTTTCTTAGACCTCTTAATTTCATTTTTTCCCCGTTTAATATAAAGCAAGATTCATTTAATTCAATACCTTATAAACAGAAATTTCCAATAAAATTGAAAGATAATTCATGTATGAAGTAATTTTCATTTCAGCAATTTAAAAGATATTATACATAAATAGTGCATATTAGAAATAAAGTTAAGGTAGACTTAATAATTAAAAAATTTGTATGTCATGTTTTTGAACTTATGAACATTTTATAGATTGCCAAACAAAATTTGATTTCAATTCAAGCTATGAGTTACAGAAACTTTGGAATTTATAGATATTTTATTAGTAGGATAAAAAACCTTAATATTATGTTTTTGCTTAATATTATGCTTAAATAGTTAAATAGAAAATAATAAATTTTTTATTGAAATGATTCTGAAATGGTTTTAATTAACACTATGCCTTAAGATGATGAAAAATATAATTTGATTTTAATTAAAGCTATAGGATTTGTTAAAGTTTTCAAATTTAGAGATGCCTTATAAGAAGGTAAAACAAAGAAAGATCTTTTTAATGAATACTATGCTCAAAAATCATTGATTTTCTCTTATTTCAAAAATATGTCATAAATCATTCGCAATATTTAGACATTTTATATGGTGCACAAGAGAAACTGGTTTTAATTAATGCTATTCCTATGTTAAAGAAAAAATACATAAAATTCATTTAATTTTTAGATTTAAGTTATGTTAAACTTTTGAATTTCAAAACATATCATCAGTAGAAGGAGGAAAAAAACGTTTGCTTTCAATCAATACGACTTAACTCGTTAAAAAAAAATTAATTAAAGCTTAATTTAAATACATGTCATCTCAAATATTTGTATGCAAATAATTAATAAGTATAGAATTTTAAAGCATAACCTAATTACTTGCACTTGAATCACAAATCGAGCAAATCAGTCTACCTGAACTAAGCCATTGCCACATCATAAGGCACAAATTTAATAGTGATAAATATTAGTTCAATGAACTAGAAGAGTAAGTGTTGTTAAATCTTTGAGCAAAACCCCCCTTTCCTAATTTAGGTAGTTTGTCTGCTGAACAACTAACAAATAATGCTCATAGTTATGAAATCAGAAAGCTAAAAACTCACTCTATCAACACTAGATTACAAAGGACTATTACGGAGGAACACCAGCTTGAAAATTAAAAAATATATATAAATATAATTTGTCATGTTTTGAGTTAGAGTGTGTAGAATGCCTTCCTGAAAAAGAGTTTGAGTCATAGGAATTACTTGTTCCATACTCCTAATTTAGTATTTTTAATGTAAAAAAAATAATTGAAAAGTGTTTCAGTTTTGGTAAAAATCCCAAAAACATTCTATGAAATCTTGAACATCTGTAAGGGCAAGGTTGACAATTAATTCTTCAAATAATGTAGAAAAGGAATTAAAATAATTGAAAAAATCAATTTTAAGAAAAATTTGAGACCAAAAACAAAAAATTTTAAGAAGAAAAATTTTGAATCTTTCAATAATTTATTAAGAAGATTCATGTTGACCTTTTGTGATTACTTATTTCAAAAAACTCTATTCAACAAGGCATTCTAAAGACTGCAAAATACTAACATTACAAGAAAAAGTAAAACATATTTTTTTGAAATTTTCAATCTGGTATCCCCCCTCAAGCCATTTAAGAGGTAATGTAAAATAATTTATTCAAATAGAACATAAGCATCATATGCAACAAAATTAGGTAGATAAAGTCAAGACACTCATCAACAATTAAAAAATATAAACACTAATTTAAAATGCAAGACAAATTTTCCAGAAAAGCCTTCTTCAAAACTTTTACAGGAAAAAAATAAATCACCAGGATGTATATATAAATATATACACAGCAACAATTTTTTTTAAAGAGCAAAATAATAGATTTGAAATTCAAAACTTTTCTCCCCTTTCTTTTCTGTTGCTGAACATTTACAATACAGGATGGCAAAAAATTACGTAACTAAATTGTTTGGAAAGATTGACGATAAACGTACATAATTTTCTAAACAACAATTTTTGTGTTTAGCTGCAAATTTGATCTTGAGTTAAGAAAGGATCATAAATAAAAAATAAACAGGAAACAAAATTTATTAAATCAGAAAAAAAAAATAATGTAAAATTTTTTATCCATGATATAGGGTCTTGTGAATAAATTTGAATCAACTTAAATTTAGAACTATTACATAAATGACAGATGGTTTGGAATTAGCTGAAAATTTAGACCAGGGTCTAGAAATAATCATGTATAAATAATTATTATGCAACAAAATTTACTAAATTGGGAATGAAAAAAAGTAATTTCTATCCACATTATAGTTAAGTGAATAAATAATTAATGAAGCATTCTTGTCACAGCCTTATGTGAGCTGGGGGTAGCAAAGAGATTAAGGGTTTACAATTTCATGACTAACAGCATGATTGTGGCAATTTGGTTAGAATTGTGCACAAGCCGCCTTAACTGACGTTGTGCACCACCCAAAGAAGCTGGGTGGGCTTCAAACTTTTTCTGAGCACAAATTCTTCACTATGACAGATCAGTACTATTAACCACTTAACTACCGCTGCTCATATAAATGATATGAAACAAATTATTAGACTGTGAATGAAAAATAGCAATGATTTGTATCGATGGTATGGAAGTCTTCAATTAATATTAAAATATATAAAAGATATAAAATGAAAAATAGCAATAATTTGAATTCTTGATATATAGTGAGATGTTAATTCACTGGGATACTTAAAGAAGCTCACGAATAGATTGCAATTAATGAGAAACATATTAAATTGCGAATGAAAAATAACACAGGGTTTAAATAATATACTTGCATTGTATATTAGGTATAAATTGCAATGTATCATTGTTCTGGGATTTTGAAAAAAGGTAATAAATAAATAAGCAATAAAAAATTTTTTTTACCCTGCAACCCAATTAAAATTTGTAGTTCTATTAAATTGCAGTAAAATTTAAGTAACTATGTACGGTATGTCGGGCAATGGTATTTTAAAAACATCGGAGTAGGATATACTGGGCAAATATATACTGAGCAGTGGCACCAAAAGAGCCAAACTAAATTAATTAAAAAAAATATAACCTATGTATTGAAGTTAATTACTGTCTTATAATATGTGTATCCCATTTTTCTTCTTCAAAATACCTTGGAAATGTACCAATCTTTAATCTTCCTTTTAGAAAATGCACAACAATAAAAAATTTACACCACAGCAATATTAGTTTTTTTCTCACACAACAAATTTATTTCTGGACCCACAGTTAACTTCTTGCGCTATTTAAAACCAAAAACATCTCCAAGTAAATTTAGTCTGACACTAAGATGTACTGAGCATCACTTCAAATTTAATTTGAACATTTTTTATTTGTACATGAAGTGTAGATAAATTTAAAAAAAATAAAATATCTGAACAATTCTTTAACCTTAAGAAAACATCAGTGTAGTGAATGTCCCGGCAAATTTACTCCATATAAGAAGTTTTTACCATCAATGCTGGCAAGAAATTTTTTCTTCTTGCAAAAACAGGTATTGAATATATCTGTTACATTTGATATAGACATGCAGTTATTTATGAAATGCATGTTTTATGTTAAAAAATCACTGTAACACAAGTGAACCTTAAATTTAATAGGGTTGTAATATTTAATCTCTTTTTCACCATGAGACAAAAGTGGCGCCAATAAAACTGAGCCAAAAGTGTTTGGTGAGAAAAAAATCACTGAAACTCAAGTGCAGATCTGCAACAAATCTGTTCTATAAATAATTAACATACTTTGTATTTATTATTTACAAATTGTGATTATCACTGGGTGGTTAATTCACTAGGATATTTAAAAACTCATAAATAAATAATTACCATAAACCATAATATTATTAAATTGGAAATGAACAATAGTAAAGTTGAATATAAATTGTTTTCTTGTAATACTGGGTAATAACTGTTGGGAATAATTTTTCATAAGGATATTTAAAAAAAAATTCACTAATTAATAAGAAAATCAATTGCTATAACAAATGTTTAAATTATAATTTTGAACAAAATTTTATAGAATTTTTCAAATTCTACACTAGTTATTGATCGAATGCCATGGAGAATAATAAGTTAGCTATAGCATTGGCACCAACTTAAGGCCAGGACAAGGATTATAAAGTTAAGTTGGAAATTTAAAACAGTTAAGTAAAGAAATTTATATCCATGATATAAGTTGAGATGAAATTATTTGGATATTTACAAATGCTTGCGAATAGATATTTAGTAGGAAATATAATTAAATTGAGGATGAAAAATAGCAATATGATTCATATGAATTATAAACATAAAATAAACTAATTTGAAAATGATTAAATCAAAACAATAAATTAGCAACAATAGATTTCCCCCTGCTGTAAATTAAAACCATTCTGCAAATTTAAATTTGCGAAGATTTAGAAAAGGTCATAAATAAATAATAAAAACAAAATTTATAAATAATTTTTCTTTTTTTTAAAGTTTAAAATTACAGTTTGTTATTTTGAGATTCTGTTTTTTTAAATCTCCTTTGTTAATTTCACTCTGAGATTTATAAAAGTTATTAAAAAATATGAACCTTAAAATTTGGAAGAGAACCAACTTTATGTTGGAGATTAAAAAAAAATTATTTCTGAAGTTTCTTTTCTGAAGTTATTTCTTGCCATCCTGTACAGAGAAGAAAATATTCCTCTCCTTTTAAAAAACAAACGAACAAACAATGTAAAATAAGACATAAAAAATCCGGGAAGGGTATAATATCTGTACATATTTTATAACAAAAATTATTTTACATTGGTGGGTGCTCAGTATGGGGTCGGGGACCATCATTGGCCAACCGAGAGATCAAAAATGCGTATTTTGACAAAGAGAGAGAGATAGAGAGATACAACAAATCTCACGAGAGAAGAATGCAGGCAGTGTATGACCCCAAATAGGATTCAGTCAGGACACACCCATTAGGGATATGTATCCAAAAAAATAATAAAAATAAAGAAAGAACTATTCATATTCAGGTTCATGTTGACCTCCACAGTAACCACAACTGACTCCACAGCGGTGACAGGCACGAAGAGGCAGGTAGCACCAGAGGCAGGGAACAAATATAGAAAGCAAGGCAAGACCAGTCCAACGCCTGCGGCAGTGATCATCGGAAGAATCACATGAACAAGGATGGTGATGGAAGTCCCCTTCTGCATCTGACATGCAATGATAGAGCATGCACTGGGCACAGGAGAGGCAAGTCGCATGGTTAATGCACGATAACGTTCTATCGCGACCATATCGACAGCTGCCAGGCCGGTTGTCTTCTTCGCCGTAAGTGTCGAGGCACAAGCGACACCTCGACTGACTCGGCGAAGGTTGCGACCTCGAGTCTTTTCCTTTCTTTTTGCTTGGAAGTAGTGGCGGTTCAGAGCTAACAGTTGCCACTTGCTTTTTTAAGTTCTCAGGGTAATCCTGTCTCCCGCTCTTTAATGTCTCTATCGCAGGGTAACAGTAATCGTGTTCAGCACGTTGCTCGGGCCTCTCTTTAGCGAAGCTAACGTAAGAGTATGGTAAGAGTTCAATTTTCTCCTGATTATTAGGAGGAGGCTCTTTGCCTGCTTTTTCTTTAACCCAAATTTCTTCACCTTGAACTTTCTGTAACTCTCCAGCTGCAATACTTATAGATGAAGTCAAGCCACTAGTGCTGCCACCATTACTGCTGACGCCCGGCATTGTGCGCGAGGGCTTCATGAACTGTAATCGATAAAGATGCTGTTGTTGCTGCTGCTGTTGAGTAGAATGGGGATGAGAATAAGGTGATGAGTTGACTGAAAATGTATCACCCGGGATGCTGGACGTTGCAGAAGTCGGCCGAAATGTGTTCACGCCATTAGCACTTCCACTACTAGAGCCCGATGAAGAGCGAGATTCCACAGGTAGATCTAGAGTCTGAAAACAAAATTCAAATTTAAGATTAAAAATAAAATTAGAAAAATAAATTTTTTCTTTTTTAAAAGATTCCGTACAGTACCTTTAACAGTGGAAAGATATTACATACTCATTAACAGAACTTTTTTTTTTTTAAATTACGTCCATCATTTGCTTTCTCGAGCATGAGAAGTCTTGCAGTCCAATATAACAAAGAAATATCTCCAGGGGAGGAGAGCGTCTTGAAACTAGACGAATTACGGGCCTACTAGAGGGCAGAGCAGTTCCATAGATGCTCGCCATTCATATGGGTCCTATTTGTACATAGAGTACAGTTAGGAGAGCCAGTAAGACCAACACGGTGCAAGTGCGCCTGTAAGTAATCGGAACAGTCAACAATCGGAAAGATGAAACACCGATAGCTCTAGGGAGATTTTTCGGAAGACAAGATGCCAGAAGGCTCTCCCAAAGTTATCCAGAAACTTGCTCCCATTAATAGAACTAACAGACTGAATCTGCAGCACTATCTTCATGAATTCAAATTTATCTGTGACCTCAACTTATTGAGGCAGAGATTATTGTAAATATTTAGTTTAGACAGATATTATTAGTAAAGCAAAGATATAAGATAATAAAGCGAAATGTGCAAATATAAGGTCATTAAAAATTATACATAAAAAGTTAATGTTTAAACTTAAGTTGAATTTATACAATGATACAGAAAAAAAAAATCCTTACTGCTTTTTTTTCTCAATTCAGTTTTTTATTCAAAACAAGTTTAGAGATTTTGAAGAAGAGTCCCACAGTTTTTCTACACTTGTTTGCCTTTAAAAATTAAAATTTAGATCTATCGGGATTATACATACATATTTTTATTACTGCTCACAAATAATTCATAACTTTTTTCCTTTCAGCGAGAATAGATTTTTTAAAGAAAAATAAAATTACACAGGACTCTTCATATGAAAGACGTAAATCTGAGCAAACAGAGAAGTAGATACAGATTAAAAAAATGATAGAATGTTAGCTAGCCATCATCATCAACAGCATGATAGCCAAGAGTGGATTAAAACTTTCTTTTGGAGAGATTTCCATGCAATTTTATGGGTGACAATGCTCCTATAGATCCAAAATCTTTTTGAATTTTATTCATCCATTCTATTTCAAAACGAGTCTTTTTTCTTTTTACAGGATTTATATCATTCACTCAGAAACTATGAGCAGACCAATTTTCTATATAAATCATCATAAATTTTAGGTTGCGTACATTATTTTTTCCCAACAATAATTTTCTTTTAACTCCTCCTGGATTTTATTTAAAAAAGTTATCTTATAGAAGAATCTTATATAATAAAAAAAATTATTCTTTCAGTTTGTAACAATACCAATAAAGATATTAGCAACTATGTTTCTGCCAATAACATAATTATTTCACACGGTTAATGGATGAACTACCATACCTAATTTTTCATAAGGACTATAAAAAACTTTATTTAAAAAAATCTTATAAACAACATATTTTATTTTTTGGTCACATTATATTAGGGCAATTAATACTGAACAATAACTATAAAATAGTAATTTGTCATGAAATAATTTATATCTTGCAGTAAATATTAAATAGAAAGTCAAAAAACAAGCAAACATATAAGTACTTATAACCTAATATAGATAATTGCTAAAGAAATAGCAATTGTTATCAAAATATATCATACATGTATAAAGAAAAAAAAAAAAAGAAACTATGAATGTATTATTTACTATTATGGAACTTTTCAACAATTAAAACTTTTTGTTTTTTTAAATTCAACAGAGACAATTTAATTTAACAATTGAATAATTTTTACAACAATGAGCTTAAAACAGTTTTGTCAGAGTTTTTTTTTAGCAGCAGATGGCACTAAAAGAACTAACAAATCCTAAAATTTTTTAAAAAAGCGTATGGTCACATATATTAACTTTATTTTTCTATAATTCAATATATATATATATTAAATGAAAAAATTATATACAAACCATGAAAACTTCATCATCTCCAAGATCATCTCCACCATGAGAATTGTGACCATAACCTACACCTGAAAAAAAAAGTAATTAAAAATTGTATAATAAAGTGTTAGTATTTAATGAATATTTTTCACCATTTGATATGATGTACCCGATTTTGCCAGGATAGAATTTTTAAAAATATGGTTTATATTCAATTTAAAAATCAGTATTTAATGCAAGAATAAGATAGATATTATGTATCAAAAGCATTCAAACAAATAATGATTGATAATTAATAACAACAATTGAGATAAAAAAAAAGAAAAGAAAAAAGACAATTTTGAAAATTACTTATTCTTAAGTTATAACATTTTTTTCATAATCCTTTATTTATCATAGGAAACTACGCAACAAAACTTGATTAACTTGAACTTTGAACAGTTTCAATCATTAAATTGAAAGCAAAATTATCAATTATCGATCATTGTACGAATTTTGAAAAATCTAGTCCTGATTCGGGTGCTGAAAAAATTAAAAAAATTTACTTAGTTAGGGTACATTATGAAGGTCTAACATATAATCAAATGAGCTCTTAAAATATTAAAATAAAATTTTCTAAGCATTTAACATAACTACAAAAATTTTAACCCAATTAAAAAATATTCATAAGCATTACAGTAAGGAGATATGTGGCTCTTAGAAACAGCTGGTCGAAAATATGTGTTTTGTATACCAAAACACTTAGCTAAGGTATTTATAAAAGTGTGGTTGTTTGTAATTAACTTTTTAATACAGTTTTGATGGAACCCTTCAGTTATCTTTTTCTTTACAAGAAATATCCCATTTAATGCTTTGTTTAAAAGCATTAAACACATTAAAAAATTATTCTTTATTTAATAATATTGGAGTACAAAATATAAAAGAATACAAATATGTTTAATGAGAACATAAAGATGCTTCTAATGAATGCATAAAAATAAAAAAATAAATACTCAAACTCAATTCAAGAGAATGAAGATGTTTGAAACAATAAGGAAAACACTTCAAATGAATTGATATCTGAATGAAAAACTATAAGAGCAAAACTTTTGTATCGATAACTACAAAAATTGACTTAAAATCTAAATCTCCCAATAGTTTTCTATTTGCATAAAAGAGTAGCAAGTAATATTTCAGGAAGAATAGCAATAAGAATTTACTGCAATTACCGCTATTCTTGCAGTTATTTTTATAATAAATGTTATGTTAAACAGAGCCATATGAAGGAAATAAATAACCAACCATCTACTAACAAATTTTTTTTCTCCTTAATTTTTCACATTTCTAAAGTCAAAGAAATGGCATTCACTTGTAAATATTTGAACCTGTAAACAATAAGCAAGAAAAATTGGTTCCGTTTAAAGTGTCTCTGAAAATGTCTTGATTGTCACAGTTTTTCAACAGGAATTTATTGTAGTAGAATAGCAACAAGAATTTATTATAATTACTACTATTCTTGTAGTTATTCTTATAATAAATTATATGTTAAATAGAATCAAATGAAGGGTATAAATAAGCAACCATTTAAGAGAATTTTTTTTAACTCCATACTTTTTCACATTCAGTAAGAGAAATGGCATTCACAAGCAAATATTTTAGTATGCATGCAATAATGCACGAAAAATTGGTTCTGTTTAAAGTGTTTCTGAAAATGTTTTCACTGTTGTAAAACTTGAATAAATAATTTATGTAACTAGTCTTCTACTACATTTTAATATAAGAAATGCAAAAGCACAATCAACTCCAATGAAATAATCATCTAATTTTTACATTTACCTTCATACATAGTAAAAATTAATATATAATAAATAACTCATTTTCATAGTTTTAATTCGTATTTAATATTATTTTTGATTTTTACATATTTTGTAGGTTGTTTGTATACATAATTATTTACAGTATTTTGAAATTTTTAATTTTTTGAAGTAAAATAGATTTAAAAATAGTAAAAATAAAATATACAGCAATATGAAAATTAATGTTCAATATCTGGTTAATATTTTGTTATCTGATTCGTATTATAATTTATATCTATAATTTTAGAAAATCTATATATTATTTTAAGGATAAAACTGCAGAATTAAATAAAATATGCGGAAAAAGATAAAAAGAACAGAATAATTTGTTAATTATAGAGAGCTTTGAATAGGAACTATAACAAATAGTAACAGCAGTTCTTCTCAATGGTACATCTTGTACTCTAAAATTAATTGTAGGGAACGCCTGATCGTCCAGCTTAAAAAAAAAAAAGGGATACTAACAGATTTAAGTAAACAAAATTAAACTATGAAAATAAATGAATACATAAATAATAAATTTTACTAATAGAAAAAATCTGAACAGAAAAGAAAAATACTAATGCAAGAAACAGAATATGTAAGGACAATTTTAAAACACTTATTATTTTAGAACAGACTGTTGTCAGTATCTATTTTCAGTAGTGACTTACTTTTAGTGAAAAAATAAATAAATAAAACCCAGAATTTGAATATCCTGGGTCCTAAGAACCTGTTTTATACAAAGTATAGCAGAATCACCGAGTAATAATAAGTGAAAATTGAAAACTTTGGTAATTCTTTCAAACAATAAAATAAATAAATTTTTCTATTGTAATATTATCACTACTGTCTGAAAAACATATTTAAGTTTCACTAGAATCTTTCTTGATATGCATACTAAATAAGTATGCAAACAAAAATTATAACAATGTTTGATAATTGTATTAAACTTATTTGGATAACTCAACAATCAGTACAAAAATATCATTACTAAATACATAGAAAAGAGAGTATCAAATTTTACTTTTAAGGCACTTTTTGAGACACAATGTAACAATGCACCAGAACATTAAATATAACTTATCAAAAACATTAAGTTAACATTTAACAAAAGTCATAATAATAAAAAAGTGTAACTATCTTTTAGTAGTATTCAAAACTCTTTTCAATGTTAAATAGCTACCTAAAAAACATGGAATCTAAAGCCATTTCTGAGACACCAAGCAATGTGGAAAAACACAACTTGCATAAAGCAATATGTAACAAGTTATAATAATCAACATTGTTTTCCTATCTCAAAATAGCATACGAAATAGTAATCCATAAAAAATATGGTATGTAAGGTTACTGTTGTAAATCCAATCAAAGTCAGGGGTCTGTTCAGACATTTTGTGAAAGGTCCGGTTTTTGTGAAAAAAATTACTCACATTCTTTCAACCAGGGTCCGCTTTTATGAATTTGTGCAAATAGGGCCCGGTTATTGCAAAAAACTTTTTCAAGGAGTTTTTAAATTGTAAATAGATACAAGATTATGCTCTGTACTGTAAAATTATAATAAAAAAAATTAAATTTTCAAAAATAAACAGCAATTGCTGCTTCTAAATTCGAGATGCAACATACAAATATTTGGTATTTAGCCTACACTGCTGAACGCGGAATATTCATTTCGGACAAATAATGGAAGAATCGTTTGCCGAAGACAAAACTTAATTCGTTTACATCCTTCTTTCTTGTTTTCTGCCCAGGGATTATTCGAATAACAAAACAATAATGAAGATAAACAACTTTGTGAAGGGTCCGATTAAATGAAAAATCATTTTGTGAAGGGTCCGTTTTTAAGTTAAAATATTTTGTGAAGGGTTCATTTTTATGAAAAGATATTTCGTGAAGGGTCCGTTAACGGAGTCAAATTTCTTCTAAACAGATCCCTGAAAGTATGAAATTGATTTAAACAAATTTCAAGATTAAAAATTTAGGACAAAACTTTAAAATAATAAGTCAAAATGGAAAAGCGTTAAGAGCAGCTAAAACTAAATTTATCTTATTTAAACAAAAAGTTAGAAACCAAAAATAAGCAAAATAAAATTTTAAAGATTTTGTATGTTAGAAAAAAAAAAAGCGTCATCAGGGGACAATGTGTCATCAGGAAACACATTGTCTGCTAACATATTGGAGCCTTTCTGTAGTCAGTAAATGTAAGACAAGTCTTTAATGATAAAATATACAGTATAATACCTTCCAAGAGATCTTCAACTGCAGTCCTGACTCCCTTATCAAAGGCCCTGGCATCTGCAGCTGTCTGGAAGGTAAGACCAAATTTCTTCTCTCCTGTCCTCCAATGATGAAAAGTGGGCATCACTTTATTATAAATGAAGTCTCTCCTAATGCTACAACTAAGAACAACCTGTAAAAGAATTCCATTTTTACTTCAGTTTATTCTTGATGGATAATTACCATGTTCCTTTATACAAAGGAAGAAAAGATTAATAAATAAAAAAAAGAGAATAGTTTGGCAAGCTTACATTGAAAGCTACACTCTAAGTTACAGCTGTCTGAGAAAAAGTTTTAAAAAAAGGCAGGGAGAGACATACATATCAAAAATATAATTTTCCTTACACTAACATACATAACATACTAATACACTAACATAACTCCGTATTAATTAGACCTTTTAATTATAAAATCCCGCTTAGTTTGTAATGTATTTAGATGAAAAGGAAATTTTCATATACTTGAAACCAGGGTCTTCACTGAGACATACTTAACTTGGATCCCAAGGACTCAGAAATTACTGAAAAGCATGGTCCTGGTTCATTAAAAAAAAACAACATAGAAACCCAAAAATTACAAATTTGCTATTATGTCTCATATATTATAAAAATATGCATCATTTAAATAAAAGGGAAAAACTTTTTTTTAAAGCAATTAAAGGTCAAATATAAAAAACTCAAATTATTATATTAGTGCAATAACAAAATTTTAATTCAAGGGCACTTTAAAGTTTGAAAGAGCTTGAGTCAAAAAGATTAATATAGAATTTCACACCGTAAAAATTTATCAAATTGTGTTACATTACATGATATTTGAATTTGATCCTCAACAATTTTGAAAATACCATCTTTTACTATTTTATGTGTAAATTAAAAACATTAATTCTCACAAATTATCAAAACAAAAAAACAATTTGCAGTCAATAAAAATAATGAAAGGCATGATAAAAAAAAATTCTCCAAGCATAATTTTTTTTTCTTCAAAAATGAATAAAAAAAAGTAAAAAATATAAATTGATAAACAACTGAAAATTATGAAAAACTGAATTAAAGGTACATTCTTTAAAAAGAAAGTATTTATTTAAAAATCACTTAAAAGATATACAGTCAAACCCCGCTATAGTGAACCTTCAAGGGACCGAAATTTCGGTTCACTATATCCGTTGCGCAGATAATTTACCTAATGGTTCCCAAACTCCTTCCTTTTATTGCACATTATTCAAATAAATGATGACTATAGTAGCAAAAAATGTGTTATTTTTCATTACTCTTCGTCTTGCATACAAAAAAAATTTGTAATCTTTAGCTGATGAGCAATCCTCAACATCAGTTATGGAAACACTTCCCAACTATCAGATAATTTTTTCTGAATTTCTGTTATTCCGTTTTTTAAAGCTGTCTAACCAGCCATTCGAGCACATGAAAGTAGTCTCATAAAAACATTTAGCAAATTCATCCACATTTTTTCAGATACAGGAAAATTGCGGCTTCTTCGAATGGTGAACCACTTCAGTAATGCTTCTTCAACATCCTTGTGATCTGCTTTTCTCAACTTATTCTGCCATCTAAATTTTTTTCATGAGCAGAAATTATTAATTGCCTTCTTTTCCATANATATTTAAAGGATTAGGTATTCACTTTTGTTGTTCAATGAATTATGGAGTTTCAAAAATTATAAACCTTTGCCTATTATATTATATTATTTTCTTTTGATAAGTTAAAGTAAATTGTACAAAAAATATCAAATATTTATTGATACATGTAATTATTATGTGTAAAATGATTACACCTATAGAATTTTTACCTTTTACCTAAGTTCAAGGTTTTGGACAGTTTTATCCAGTTTAGGACAGTTTTACCCAGTTTAAGACAGTAAAACCCAGGTGTCCTGTCCAAAACCAGTTAAGGACGTCCAAAACCCCAACCCTGCTTAAAAGATATATTAATATACCCACTACCTTGGAAAAAAAAAGAAAGGAACTCAAAAATTTAAACAGTTGAGAACAATCCTAACAAAGTAATATTAGTACTCAGATTTAAATCAATAAACACAGATAATTTTACCATTGTGCATTATTTAAACAGTGAATTATCTATTTATTAATTTTTAAATGGAATATGAATATAAAGGCAGTGTTTTTAAGGGATGAAGGTTTATTTTTATCAAAAGGGCAAAGGGGATGCATTAATAGGGATCAAAGGACAGGTGGGGTGGGCCACCCTTCTAAAAACACTCAGGGACAACACTGCTGAAGCTGTTAAGTAGAGTAGTGTTTGTATCTCTCTTTTTTCTGGTCTGTAATATTTTTCAATTTTAAAAGTGCTTATTCATATTACTTATACAATCATATTTTTTTTTTGTAAAATTAAGTTTTTCACAGAAATATGATCTTAATTTTTAATAAAATTGATTTTCCCAAAATTAAATATTGTTTTTCACAAAATTTTAAAAATAGGATCTTAGCATCAAATTCTTGACTCAGACACTTAAAGGCATTCATTAACTTTAAATAGAAATGAAAGAATCTAGTTTTAAATTAAGACAACTATACAACAAAGCTTCCTAATAAAAAATCTGATCATTAAGCGGATTTAAGTGTATAAATCAATTAATTACTCCCTCAACATCACCAAAATGAATCCTGATCACTGCTCAGTTTTTAGAAGTGAACTCATTGCTATTGATACTGCCCTGGATTCTCTTCTAACACTACAGGATCACAATAATATCTGGATACTATCGGACAGTCTCAGTTCCATACAGTACTTATCGCATTGGAGGAAGGCGAGAGTCAAAACAGGAGTCTCAATACTGCACAAACTTAAAATCCTCTCACGATTGCGTGNAGCCCTTAAAGGTACTTAATTTTGGTTCAAGGTTTTTAAAACTGACAGTCTCAATACAGTACTTATCGCATTGGAGGAAGGCGAGAGACAAAACAGGAGCCTCAATACCGCACAAACTTAAAATCCTCTCACGATTGCGTGAAGTCCACCTCCAATGGATCCCTTCTCACGTTGGAGTTCTGGGCAATGATATCGCCGACACTCTGGCTAAGGAGGGGACAAAAGAAACTTTGATGAGTCCAAATTCACTCACCTTCATGGAACTGGCATCGAAAAAGAAGACAATGTTTTCTGGCTCGTACCCCCCAAACATCACTGGTACCAGAGCACCAGTCCAGGAGGTGCACTCAACATTCGGTGCAACCGCAAGGACCAGATGGCTCTTACCAGGCTTCTCCCCAACATATCCTGGACTGGACAAAAGGGACATTCTATATAACCCACTTTAGGTGGCTGACTTCCTCCGGGTCATGAATTTCATGGACATTGTTTAACCCTGCTAATTTTGGGGATAAGGAAGAAGAAGAAGGTGTATAAAGTATATAATAGATATAATTACCTAAAACTGGATAACAAGAAACAAATATTAAGACATCAAAACAAAATTCATAAAAAACAATACTAATGTTTAAAAAAAAAGTAAAAGGTAGAAAAAGTTATTTTTATGACTCATACAATAGATTAAAAATAACAATACAAATGAAGAACTTTGTGGAAGAATAGATTAAGTGATATTTTAAAAAAAATATCATTTTTATCACAATTATATTAGGAAACTGTCAACAAAAAACTTTTTAGGGGAAAAAAATCTTATTATCTCACCGTTTGATCTGATATTCTTTTTCCACAGATGATATATTCCGGTTTCTGATCTTCCTCTGAGATGAGACGTTTCCTTACTGATACATTACTCAGCCCACCTCCGCCCATGGGTACCCAGCCTCCTGTGGAGTCATCTCTGGTCATGACCTGAGCCCGGACACGAACCAGAAAGTTCCCACTGAAACAAAATGAAGCACATTACCTTGTGATTGAATAAATAGAAAATAATCAATAAAATCAATCATCAAGAGGATAACCTAGATTATCATACGACACACCAATTATGACTAATATCATTATCAGGGTTGGCAAGATTTTGCCGCAGGAGGAGAAAACCATGGTAAAAACCGTCCTGGCAAAAACAGGTTTTTGCCAGGACCAGTTACACTTACAGATTTGACAAAGAAAAAAAAATTCCTTAAAACTGCTTTGAAGGTTAAACTTGATTATTTTTCAGCATTCCAAATAATATACAAAGGCATTTTTGGCACACGTGATTAAACAATACCAGGAGTTAACACAAATCAATCCATACAAAATCCAGGAGAAAATAAGAAATTTTCTTTTTTTGCTCATTTGAAATAACAGAATTCACCATTAGAAAAGTAGGAGAATTCGAGATAAACTTACACACTTTTTAATTAATTTGTTCGCATTACTTATATTTTTCTTTTTCGACATTGATTAATTAGGTAACTAATTGTTAAGTAGTATGAGGATGCATAATTATATGTACCTTAAACTATTTCATTTTTTGAAGAACAATTTTACCCTACCATCAATTTATCCTTTACTATTACGAAGCAAATTTACCAATCATAGGCGCTTTTCCGTATCAAAATGGAAAAGTGCCTGTAGTATCTAAAACCTAATTTGCTTTATTTTAATTTAAATATTAGGTAAATTATTATTTTTTAATAACAAGTATTGCAATAAATTGGTAGCATTTATAGATTCAATTTTTAAATTACTCAATTTGCATTTAGATTAAATTAGTCATAATCAGTATATTGTTATCAATGGAATGAATAAGTAAATCATGATACTGGCTACTGTTACTTGACTTTAGTTAAGGCTGTATATAAACAAATAACACATTAGTAATGCAGATCAACTCCTTTTTCCCAAAATCAGTATATCTTTATGCAATTATATAGTTCATGGTTTAAAAATGTCCGTATCAGTAGATTTTAGTTTAAATTAGCATAAAAACTTGATATGGATCAATTTATTCCACAGAAATCATAATATTAATTGCAATGAAAAGTAGAACATGATGCAGTCAACTATTATAGTTTACTTTTCACTTAATGTTAAACTAGCATCAAAAACATTAATAGTGTATATCAAAAAGTAAACATAATAATTTTAATTATAGCAATATATATGTAGATCAATATATAGTCAATTTTTAGATTATTGATATTAATTTATTCTGAATTAGCATTAAAAAACATTTAACACAAAGATACTCGCCTTTAGGAAATCAGAAGTTAATATTTGATACCTAAAATATCAATAGTTTGTAAATACTGCATAAAAATCTTCTTATGAACTTTTAAAAATAATTTATTATAAATAATTATGCCATTTATTAATCAAACAATTTACGGTACTTTTAGATCCATCAAAAGAATTCCTATCTAACTTTATGCCTTGATTACCTAAATAGATATTAAAACATTAAAAGTTTTTTTTCTTGAAATATGATATGATAGTAAATAAACAAAGCATAACAAAATGAGAACGAAATCATTATTTTATTTATACGGAACATAATATTTTTAAAAACATGAATAAAATAGGAATTATAAATTTAAACAAAAAAAAAATTATCTACATCTTTTCGTTTCACCCACACAAAGCAGATTTAAAACAAAACTATTAAATATTCTTTCAATAATAATACAAAAATGTCATGAATAAACATATTCAGAGAAGAAATAATTACATCAATGAAAAATTATCACATCCTGTGCGTATCCGCCATACAACACTTCATTCATAAAATTATTTCTATTTTTACTCGCTAACTGTCAGATAGAGTAGTAAATCGTACCTTCACAGTCGAACTTAACTAAAATCTGCCATTCCTTGGGAAGGGCACATCTAAGATTGGAATATTAAAAAAAGAAAGCTAAAACTCACATACTTACAAAAATACACCTATATGTATTTTTTAAATAAAAAATGCTCTGAAAGCTAGGCCTATTATATCAATGGACGTACACCTAGATTGTTAGTAAATAAATCGCTACGAAAACTGTACTTACTCTTCAGGGCTACCTTCGCCCATGTTTACGCCAGGCAAAATCCATTTTCAAGATTGGATTTCCAGCCACATCAACACAATTCGAACAAAAACTTATATTTTGAAGTCTAATGACATGAAATTTAGCCAAACGGCTTCATCATTATCGTCACTTGGTTCGCTCATGACGGTAGAAAAACAAACCACAAAACATAACAAATAAATACCGCGTCAGCAGGAAGCGAAACCATGCACAGGAAGTTGACCTCTGAACAGAGCTCCTCGGCGGAAGGATATGCTTACACCTTGGAAAAGTAGTCCCTACTGCAGCTGCTCAATCGGAAATGTCAAGCCCTCGAGTCGACTAAAAAATTGCAAATCACAGAAGGTAGCATAGGAAGCCATGTCATATCAATTCAAATATTGTTGCCTTTTATAGTCCCTTAAGAAATATGCAATTGAAGTATTTATTTTTCCCGAAATATTAACTAAGAAATTTGAGATCATTAAATTGCTCTATTCTTACGTTTATATATATATATANTATATATATATATACATAATATTTTTAAGAACGGAGGTTTAATCTTGTCATAATTCAGAAAAGTTAAAAAAAATTTTCCTTCAAAGATTTTTGAACCTGCAGGGTTTTTTTTTAAAAATTTTATTTTAAATAAAAGAATATTGAAATTGTTATGATAAATTGGATCTCAATCATAAAATTTTATTTTTCATAAACAGAGCTAAGATGTTGGGGATCTGAAAATTATTATTACTTAAAAAAAAAAGAAAAAGAAAAAAAAAAGATTAAAAACCATCGAAAATGACCTAAACTTAAAAATAATGCACTTTACATTATTCAAGAAAATGTTCGTTGGCTTTTTAAAAAAACAAAGATTAATTATTGATTGCAAATTTATTTATAAATTTAAGAAGAAAATAAGGTAATAATTATAATAAACGTGTAATTTCTGAATAAAATAAAGTGTAAATAATTATACATCATAAAGATAAATGAGAATTTAATTAATCTTTAGTTACAGCATTTAAGAACATCTAAATTGTATTTTAATATCTAATTTTTTTTGTTGGTCTTTTTAAAATAAAAAGAAATAAATTTTTAAATCTTGTTTACGTTAAGACTTGTTATTGGAGTATGTTTAAAATAGTAAGATTCGATGCAAAATTTTCAATAATTTATGAAGAAAAAACTAATTTACAAGCAAAATGCTGGTATAATGAAAAACATCCATCAAAATTCATAAAAAAAGGGGGGGGGAGGGAAATATGAATAATATCAAATAAAGCCAAAAATTGCTAAGGAGAAAAACTTTACGAACATTATTTTGCTGGAGTTTTACTGGACAAAAAATATAATTTTATTCTAAAAACTTTAATAAATTAAAATGTGTTTAGTCGTCAATTGTACTTTCTCTTTTTCTAAATACCTGGGGGCCTGTACTCTTCTTTGCACACCATACGACAACACAAATGATTGTTAAGTATCAAACTATGAAGTAAAAGTAAAATCTGACTTAGTTTTTTGATCACTCATCTAGACTGCTCTTACTCTTATTTTTATTCATGCATCGAATAATAATACTTCGTTCAATGAATGAAGATGATTGTTGTATATATTTTTAACAGTCATTTTTGGATGTTTGTTTTCTTAAGTTAAGGAAAATGGGCTTAAATAGACAAAAGACACCACACTCTGTAAAAAAGAAATTGGTACTCAAATATCGCGTAACTTTCTTCGTTTTTGACGAAATCGTATCCTGATATATATACTCCGAGCAAAAATTTCATCAAAGTGGCGAAATAACTATCGTCACTTTTTCGAGGAAACGAATTTTGTCAAAATTAAAGAAATATTTCGTTATTCTATTTTTTTTCCTTCAAAAACATAAAAAACAACAGCCTCGAAATGCTTAATGTATCTTACATGTCTAGTAATCATTTTATCATAGGCCCCTAATAAGTGGATCAACGTCACCCCGACAAAACAAGAAGATCAGATAAAACAGAGAGGTAAATTACAGTTTGTCTATGTAAAGAACTCCCCAAGCCATTCGTCTGGAATAATGGCGATGACTATGGTTACGAGGTTTAACTATTTCAAGTAGGAGTGTTTTTATTTTGCATTTTATAACAGTCGTTGAACAGCCGACCTAATTTTTAGGTATACGACTGCTAATGTTCAACTCCGTAGCCTTGTAAGTTTGAACTCAATCCACAAGACTAGGGAGCTTCTGGATTAAATACTTGAAGAAATTTGCCTTCGCGGAGGACTTTTCGATGGAACTAACCCACATTTGCGTTACATGGAGAAGAAGACCACGAGAACCTCCCACGGTTAGCCTGACGGCGAGGGGACTCTAACCCGTGATCCGTCTACCACTGAGGATATTTTACGCGGTCGGTGCAAGCCGGATGCTGAATTCGTATCGACCAGCCATCGTTGGAATTCGAACTTGGTTCACTTCATTGGAAGGCGAATGCTCTATCCCCTGAGCCATCCCGGCTCCAGTAGGGGTGTTTGGTCATTATTTACGACAGTTTTTGGCTCGGATAGGCGAGAGAAAGGGAATCAGGGGAGAGAGAAGAATCCCCTCTTCGAAATGCGCTATTTCTTGGTTTGATAGCAGCAGACGGCCTTAAACTTGCAGCGAGGGGAGTTCTTTCTATAGACAAACTATACACCTATACGCGAAGCGGGTTTTGAATCCGGGATCTTCCTGGTACGAAGCAAAATCATCCACCAGCATATAGCCGGTTAGCGTATTTCGTCTCCCATAATGCATTAGGATGAGGTTTCGAGTTGAGAAAACATTTTCGTCATATATTTGAGAGCTCGCGTTTCGTGACAAATTACGCACTTTCGTGACAAAATGATTCTATAAATTAACGAAATACAGTTGAAGGATTGCTGAATCGTCAAAAATGAGAGATTTATTTCAGAGAGGGCGGGACTAATGAGGTCAAAGTTGTGGCAAAAAATATGTAATAGTTAACTGTGGACTACTGTGGACATTCAATTTTAGAAAAATAATGTTTGTAGAATAGTAGTCACAAATATATTATTCGGTGTTGCTTTAGAAAAATTGAATACTTAGGAATATAAGACAATCTTAGATCATTTAATGAATAAATGATTGAGTCTTATTTAGATTCGGATCCATTATATAATTTTTTGAACAGAGCTCACTGATTAAACTTTCTGCGATAAGAATGTGGATTAATTACTGACATATGATAATTAATATTGTATTTGATATAATTGCGGTTTTTTTTCTTCACATTTTATTTATTAAATTCGATTTATTCATGCAGAGTGGGAAATTTAGGAAAAAGCTAATACTTTGGACATAAATTAATTTTTTTTTGATTAAAAATGTTAATTGCCTATGCAATTTTATTATTATTTTTTATATCCGTAATAAAATGTGAAATTGGATTCAATTATGCTAAATGCTAATTCAATTAATGTTAAATGAAATTTGATAAATCGATATATAAATGAAAAGACATATAACTGAAAATTAAATAAATTAATATAAATTCATGGTAAAAATAATAATTTTGATAGCGTAATACCATTGTTAATTTGGCCCAATAATAATATTGATATAGACAACAATAGAGGCTGTCTTTTTAAGCAACTGGTCTATTGAACACCTGAAATAAGCATCATCTTCTAACTGCTACTTTATCTAGATTTCTTTTCCATAGTTTCATGTAGCAGGAAAAACAACAACACTTATCTAAGTTTCTTTCTTTTTTTTGTTTAAACCAACAATTTTAGCATAGCATAGATTAAGAATGAATTGGAACTGCAATGAAACGACATATTAACGAAAAAGACGCATATATGAGAAACTTATAAATGGCACTTTACTTAATTTCATAGATAAAAAATGACTTGAATAATAAAACAAATCAATAAAATATTTTCTACCAAATACACTTCTTATAAGGTCACTTGTTCTGAAAACAGTCTTTATTTTATTTTATTCATTTTTTGTTTTACATACACTGGTGGACAAAATTAAGAGATGGAAAGCATTTTCGCCCATTCATTCGCACATGCAAGATACCCGCACACAGCTTCATGTGTTTGAGAATGGTTCCGTGAATGCCCAGAGGTACTGGCAGGAGGTCCTAGAGCCCTGTCTGCGTCTTTTCAGGGGCGCTGTTGGCCCTGAGTTCATTTTTATGGACGACAATGCGTGACCACATAGGGCTCTCATGGTTGATGAGTATCTGGAAAGCGAGGATATTCAACGAATGGATTGGCCTGCCAAATCCCCTGACCTGAATCCTATAGAACATGCTTGGGATGCTCTTGGGAGAGCTATTGCGATGCGCCAACCTCCCCTCAGAACCATTCTGGAGTTAAAAATGGCTCTGGTGGAAGAATGGGAGGGTCTTCCATAAGTCCTCCTTAACTCCTTATCAACAGCATGCATACTCGTTGTGCATGCTGTCTGTCTGTCAGGGGTGACCATACACCATACTAGAGGCAACACACACTGTACAAGTCTCACTTTTATTGTCATTTTTTATCCTTAAGTTCAGACTACATTGAATTTATTGTCAATAGGTCTTGCCAGTGAATGGCACTTTCATTTTTGTTTTGCATACTTTATTATCATGAAATAAGCTATATCCATACCAAATTTCATTTATTTATAATCAGTATTTTTTGAGATATTTGGGAAAATGTCTTTCATCTCTTAATTTTATCCACCAGTGTAGTTGGAATATTATTCAATGATTCTTTAATATTTACGTTATTACCAACACGAGAAAGGTATATTCCAAAAATATTAAAAGCGGTTGTATAAGACAGCGGTTCCTGCGAGTTAGGGCCTTTTTTATTTTAACAAATTCTGAAACCTAGGTCAACCCAATGTATTTATCGTTTCGGTTATTTTTATGAAATTATTAAATGTAAGAAAATTGACGAAATTAAAAATAAAAAAAAATTCTATCCATTTCTATAATTATTTCTTATTTTATTTTTGCATAAGTACTTTAAAATGACGTATAAATATTTTTATTCATAATAGAAGTAAATGCTTATAAGTATATAAAATTAATCGAACTTCAACTAAACAAAAAGACAGTTATAGGTGAAAAAAATAATAAATTTCATTCTTTTCAATAAATGTTTCCAAATTATTATTATTTCCTTTTTTTCCTAGCATATTAACTGCTAATGCTTTTTAAGTCGGGGTTCCGCCAAAAAAAGTTCAATCATTTAGTGTTCCGTAACCGAAAAAAAT